TACTGAAGAAATTTGGAAGTGGTTTCAAGCCATAGAAACCAACTTGGTAGGTATATTGTCTACCTCCTACAATAAAGCTTGTTAATTTCTGGGCCTCATCTGTTAGAGGTACTTGATGGTAGGCGCAAGAGAGATCACTACTTGTGAAGTATGATCCGTTTATTCGGGTCATGAGAACTTGTAGTGGTTCTAATGGCCAACTACAATTGCTAGTATCTGTGATTGAGTTTAGATACCTAGCATCCAAGACCAACTTAACGTAGTCTTTTTTTGGAAGAATGATGACTGGATTTACGAACCATGAGTTCATATCATCTTTTTCATTTAGTTCTCTGACTATGCCTGCTTGGATTAATTCATCCATTAACTTGTCCAATTTATCTCTTAGATGGACTGGGATTTTACTCGGTCGTTGTTTTTTGAACGTTGCGTCCTTTTTAAGTGGTATATGGAATTTATGTTTTGTTTTTCCAATATCATATTTGTGATGAGAATAAACATCTTGATCCTCTATCAGCATTTGAATTAGATCTGCAAATTCATCATCCGAGATATCACTTTGTGTGAAATCGAAGTCAGATAAAAATTTAATAGTAGTTTCGATTTTTTCCAAAGTACTACTATTGTCCTTATCAATTGAGGAGTATTGGGTAAACGTTTTGTTGACTAGAAACGCAATTAGCCGATCATTATGTTCTTTGTTTCGGTACTTTTTAAATTGTTCTTTCAAGGGAGGCCTGCAAAGGTTCTTTGCATCATTAGAAAAGTCGGTTGCTATTTCGTTTTCATTTTTGCATACTTTGACTATATCTGAACCAATTTGTTCAAATATTTCTGATACATTCTCTGTATCAAACACTTCAAGGGCAGGCATGTCCTTGATTTCTTGTCCTGAAACATAGACAAATATAGTAATTCGAGAATGTTGGAATACATCGACAATGATTTTGGAAACTTCTTCCCAATTCATTTTATCTAAGCCACAAGCAATTTTGGGCATTGCAATAGATCGAATGTTATTTGCTATAGCATGATCTTTCATTTCGGACAAGGTATTGAATATAGCGTCGTAAGTGGGTTTCTGAAAGTACCTCTGTTTGGTAATTAGGTTATATATGATTTGTCCAGATTTTGGATCATTGAAGATGAGAATATCGTTAATGTTAGCATGTATTGAGTTACAAAAGTGTCGTAGCTCAGGATACCTTTTGCTAATTGATTCAGCAAATCCTTTTTTCATTGCTCTATCTGCAGAGATTGTATGGGCAATGGGCATATTCGATTCGAATATGGACCTTTTTTTTGAAGTCTACATATTGTAGACAGGGGCCGGATAATTGAGTATTGCTTTCCTGTGTTGTATTGACAACAGTGTTCAGCATGAAACAGCTATCGAATTCTGAACTTTCATTTAAAATTCTCGTTGTGAACTCATCACAATCGTGGATAGCAAATATTTTATCCTCGTATCCTTGAATATCAGTTACTGCATAGCCTAGTACACACTTGTTTAGTGTGACAGGATGATCTTTTTGATTCTCAATTAGGATAGGTAGGCTTTGCTCAATTTGAGTACAAACTGTATTAATGAAAACCAATTCGGTTTTAGTTGTATTTTTATGAGGCAGGAATGTAGTCCCTTTTTCGAAGTATGAATTTGGTTCAGCCAAGTGTTTGTATAAGTATGTAGAGCGTGCTGGAATGAACAAGGGTTCTTTCAAGTTAATTGAGACAATTTTTGAAACGTTAGGATATTCTTTATCGTTGTTCATCAACCCGTAGGATATTACACCTTCTTTTGATTTGAGCTCAACTGCGGGGATATCAAAGTAGAGAGCTTTTAAGAAGAGATGACAAAAGTCTACTCCTAACAGATTAGCAGTCTTTTCTTCAGTTATCCACACTTTGTGGTTAGATGGATATTTTCCATCAGTGTCGAAACAAGATTGAATAGATGTATGGCCAAACATACGTATATCAGATCCATTATAAGTCTTTGCTTTAATTTTGGATCGGTAAATTGTCATTTTTTGACCTAATTTTTCCAATTCTTGATAAGTTGGGTAGTTTATGATACTACAAGTTGATCCTGGATCAATCATGAATTCAATTTCAAGTCCACTATTATTATTTTTGTCTCCGGTGGCAAAATGATATAAGCTAAGATATATCCTTGATTTAGGATTACTATCATCGCTTGGTTTCGGAGACTTTAATAGTTTAAAGAAAAAAAATCAGTGATAGCATCACAGTAATTGACTTCTTCCTCAACCCAGTGGGTAGTTTCAGACTGTATTTGATTCGATCTAAAATTTGGTGATTGAGATCGCGTTGAGTCTCGACTGTTATTGCTATTATAGCTTCCAGTGTTATATGGTCGACCTCTAGGGTTACTATTGAATTGCCTATTTTCTTGGTCGTAGAACTGTTTAGCAACTTGTTCATTTTCTCTGAATTTGTTTTCTCTGGGATACCTATCATCATAGGTTTGGGGTCTTTTGTTATTGAAAGACGATTGTGCATTAGCCTTTTGGAAATTGTTTCCGTTATAGTTATAATTATGGCGAATGCCATAGTTATTTTGGCTAGGATTTGAATTGTTAGTAGATCTGTTTTGGTTATCCCAAAACCGGTTGCTTGGGTTAGGGTTACTCTGGTTAGGGAAGTTATTCGGTCTTGGATTTCGTTTATAATCAGTTTCAAATGAAACTCTTCGTTCATTTTTTGTTGTGAGCTCTTTCCTCAACTTATTTACTTCGTCCTGAACTTGCTTTTTTGAACATCTAGATATAGAATGTCCATTCATTCTACAATATTCGCAGAATCGTGTACTATTAGGTCTTCCCTTGATGTCAGGGTGACGTCGTTGAAATGAAGTCTGGTCATTGATTGCACTAACTTCTTGATTCTTGATCAATTTAGTTAGTTCTTCAATTTGAGTCATTTTATCCGTTGTTGACTTATTAGCAGGATCAGTAGCAACAATGAATGTTAGATCCTTAGTGATTACATGATTTGTGAATTGATCCCAATTGGCATTTGGATGCTCTATCATGTATTCATGAGCTTTTTGTTTAAGGGCTAGAGGTCTTAGTCCCTTAATTGAGAAATCGATATACTTTTGACTTCTTTGTCTGGTTTGTATAGTTCTCTCAGCATTTTGAGCAGCTTCATCAACATGAACTGTTACATCAATACTTTCCGGCCATCCTCTATCTACAGAAGATTTAATTCTGTGGAAGTAATTTTTTATTAATTCGCCATCTTGGCGAGCTGCATTTTCAGCATCAATTCTATGTTTGAATTGATCTCGTCCGTCAGTGAATCTGTTTAGGAAGAGATCTTTGAGTTGTGCCCATGTGGTAGCATTGGTTACATTATCATTGAACCATTCAAGAGATGTATCAGTTAACAATGATCCGAATAGGGATCGTTGTCTGCTATCATAGCTGCGTCGTGCATCATTATCAGCAGGTCTTTGACCTAATGAGAAAAGAATTTTGTTTTCAACTGAATTCCAAAATGCTGTAGCATTTTGGTTCGGATCGTTTCCCGAAAATGTCATTAAAGACAAGTTGGGATGGGATATTGGGGTATCAGCCATTTTATATTTAGTTTAGAACTTAAAAAGAAAGATAGAAAAGTTTATAAATTTGTTTAGAAAACTTAAATTTCCGATTTGGAAATTTATTACTTCTCTTTATTTGTAAGAGAAATTTCAACAATTCTCCAGTTTGAGAATTGGAATCTTTGCTTTTTATCTCTTTTTGAGACTTAAGCAATCTTTGCGAATTTTTAGAAGGTGAGCCTCACTGGTCGTACCAATTTATTACGCTAGCAAAACTATAGACGTCGGACAAAACGCTTGCTAGGAATAAAGGGTCCTTTCTACTTTCTATCTTAGAAAGTAAATCTAAAATTCGCTGAAACATATTTTATTAGAAAAAGAAGTTAGTATGAATTTACAGCAAGTTGCCTTTTGACTCAATATCTATTTTAACGGTGAGATTAGAGATATTTTTACTGAGAGTAGATATTATTTTAGAGATTGGTTGGGGTGGTAGAAGAGAGTGGTGTTGGTGTTAGAAGAGATATTGTTGGGAATCTAGAGAGGGAGGTTGTGGTGTTAGAAGAGATATTGTTGGGAATGAATTTCCGTAGTTTTGAGCTTCTATTTATACTCAGATGGGGAAATCACGCCACTTTTCGTATCAAATGAGAAGTTACTTCTTAACTTCGTATTCTCTATTCGTACATTCGTATTTTACGAGAAGAAGGTTTCGTATGGTCGTATTTTACGAGAGGAATCGTTAATATTCGCATTGAATGAGAATAGTCGTTTCAATTCTCAATGCTTAAAACGTTATACGAATTATTCCAATAGCATTCCCCTTCCTTTTGCAAGGGAATAAAAACATATTTCTTTTGGTGGTGGCGGCGGCGTCACATTTTGTGAACGCAGTAAAATAATTCATGTTTCTGTTTCTATTTGAAATCAGAACAAATAAATTTGGTCGACCAAAAAAATATCGACTAAATTTTCGAAATTTTTTTGAAAATCGACCCCCCTCGAGAAAATCCGTGATCCGCCCCTGCACGATGCTTTCATGAAAGTCATGAAGACGCCAAACAAGTTTTAGAGCGTGCGAGCGATGAGTGAAAGAACAGCCTGAAATTATCGCCGCTTCTAATTATTGATATTCAGCATTGCTTTACATCGTAATGCGACAACTGGCAACATAAGACAACTCGCGTTAAAAGACAATTCGCAATATACTCACCGCCGCAATCTCGCCAACGTGTTGCCAGCATGCCAGCAGAAGGTAATTTTTTATACAAAATCTATAGCCATTCACCAGCATCCTTAAGCCAAAATTCGTAAGTAACAAATTAATTTTCAAACTTTGCCAGTTGTCGCTTTCCTGAAATTTTGCGGGTTATCTTTTGCTATGAGTTGTCTTTTGTAGCTAGTTGTTGCGGTACCGCTTTACACTGATTACCATCTTCAGTTCTGATAACTGCAGGTTTATTCATTGACTGTTTCAGTTCTTCCGCTCGAGTCAAATACTGTTCCATACGCTTCATCATTTCAACAGCACCTGAGTCATTCATTCTCGCTCCCCCGTCATCTCTCGGGACATTTGCCGACACCGCAGTTCCTCCTGAGGCGCCGCTTACATGCATTAACAACAATTTTAAGGCCTCAATAGCGTCAATGTAACGATAGAAAGCGAAATCAGTCTCGCCCTTACGATCAGCATCAACTGCCAATTTTGCATTTTCAGCCACTTTCTCAGAGAGAAATTTCAACTGTTCAGTTTCTGACTCCTCCGTTTCTGAAATTAAGTCATCTGAGTTTGGATCTGGAGGAGGCAAAGATGACATTTTCTAACTAAAAAAAATCACTCTAAAGAGAACCCTAGAGGTAATGGAAAGGCGAATAATCAGATTCTCTGTATCACAAATTTCAATATCCCTCCCAATAGAAGCTGTCCTAAGGACTACAGAGTAACAATTTCAAATCTCCTTTCAGAAGAGAACAGTATTAATTAAACTAGGCAATGCAGATGCGCATTCCCCAGTTTGGTGCTCTGATATACAAGAGGATCGAAGCGCGGCTAACCTAGGTGCCGGAATTCAATCGTTCTTCAACCCGCTGAAGGATTACTACGCAACTCGACTGCCATACGAAATGAACTCTTCAGCATCATCACCTGGTCTGTCACTTACATCTTCGTCAATTTTACTTATTCTTGCTCTATTAACAACATTTGAATTGGGTCCAGACCACCTATCAATTTTCATATATCTTCCCATTGCCGCGGACATCCATTTTGCGCCTCGAAAAACTTTTATCAGACGCAAAAAAGCGGACTGGATACGAAACTAAAGATCATCTTCAAAATAAAATCTACTCAGCTTATTCTAAATGCTTCAGAGCGGATTCCTCGAGAAACTATTTTCTCTGCATCTCGTCACCATATTCCGCAGGCTGTCATCGTTTCTTTGTATTTGAACTAAGTGAAAAAACAAAGAAACTAGCTAAGCAAAGTAATAACAGAAGGATTACTGATCCACTTTTTCAAACAGAAATCAAGTTCAAGACGGCCAAAGAAAAATAAAATCATTGACGATAGATCTTCAAAACTTCGTAAACCATCCAATCAATTTTAATGGCATAAAGATCTTAAAGAAGAGAGATAGGGCAGATTCTTTAAAGACACTCAACTAAGAACACAAAAAGCAATAATGCTCAAAATAGAAAAAAAAACAAAAAAAGCTCTAACACTCAGCTTAGCTGAAACTTTATAACACTGGAAATCAAAAAATTATTGAATAAGTTAAATTGTCAAATGCCTACGGTCCAAACAGTCTTTGCAAGGCTCTTTAGCCAGGTAGCTACTTTCTAGCAACCACATTTTTTAGTTATCAGTAAACATTTGTTAAAAAGACAATCAGTTAAAAAGACAACAAATCTCAAGTTATAGAGTATTTTCAAAAACATTGCTAGCTGTGGCTTTCCTGAAAAATTGCGATTTATCTTTTGTTACGAGTCGTCTTTTGTCACGAGTTTTCTTTTGGCGAATTGGTAAATGGCAAAATGACATAGCGATAACGCAATGTTCCAAAAAAATAAACAATGTTCCAAAATGTTCCAAAAAAAGCAATGTTCCAAAAAATTTTATAAAATCGACAAAAATAAGCAGACAAACAAAAAGCAAAATATTCAATTTTTTCCGGACCAAAAATTGAGTTCTTAACATACTGCAAAAAAGTCCATTCGGGACTCAAACTACAGATCTTGAGGAGCAAAGGCAATAACGCTACCGCTAGAACAAGTGGTACGAAGTCTTCAAGTGTTAAGATGCAACACAGGCGAAGCAGACCATCGCAATTACTAGCGAACAGCGACAAAAAAGCAGCTCAATAAAATGAGATAAGAAAAACTACAATCAACCTGGAATTAATAAAATTTTTGCCACGTGTCGCAATTGAACCAGCGACGTCGAGATTTTGAATCACACCCCTCTCAGTCAGGGACACTTAACGATCGGCAAACACTAGCCACAAATTAAGCAGAGAACAGATGCTATGAAATTTCTAATGCTACATATTCGATTAAAGCAAAAGTGCCACCAAATAAGCGAAAACTCTTAATGAACAATTTTATTTGCGAGTTAGGTCGGACAAAAAGTCACAGTCATACACTACACTCGCCGAAGTGAAAATAAAGCAGCTTTGTAACGAAATTGTTTAAAAGGAAACAAATCTCAGTTCCCCATTACAAGAAACTTACTCCCGCAAATGTGGGTGTAGTTAACACACCTTCCAAGTTTGAAAAAATAATAAAAAAAATTTTCAAGAAACTTTTTTTCTAGAACAAAACTACACAATCTGCAGAAAAAGTCACCTTCTTGCTTTTCATTCAATTTTGATGACCATTTCACTTATAACAAATTTTATACCTTACTTCGAGGATCAATTTGATGCAAATTTCAGCGAAGCCTTAAGCATAGTTACAGAGGCGAAAGTGTGCTTAACAGATATAAGTGAAAGCACGACAAAAAAGCAGCTCTACAAAGTGAATAAGCGTGGAATTGTAAGCAAATTATGAAAACTTTGGCAGCGCGATTGATTCCAATCATTGATCTCAAGGTTAGGAGTCGCACGTCCTATCCACGGGCGCTTGAAGATGCAAAAACACTAGCAACAAGTAAAGAGGATAACGGATGCTATGAAAATTCCAATGCTACAGATCGTGATTATAGCAAAAGTGGCACCAAATGAGCAATTTTAATTGCGCGATAGAATGGAAAAACGTATGTTCATACTTATACACTGTCCACGCTAGCTCGCAAGTTATTATGAATAAAATTCAGACCAGCCACCCAAAAAGATTTTTCTGTATACTTCACCACGTCACGTATACAAACTGAAAGATGTCATATTTGTGTTGGACTATCCAGTTATCTCAAAATCACACCAGTGACCGAGGCTTCAAAAATGGCTTCAACTGTTAACAACTGAGTGAAAAAATCCAAACTAATTTTCGCTCATTACTAAATTTAATCTCATTTCGCATTTTATTTGAGAGTTTCACACATTTGTTTTCGAGATGGAATTCGAGAAAGATTTTTAAGCGGATGACAGCTACGATTATATGCAAATGTGTCCCACAAGGCATTTCTACGAAATTTTGTTTAATTTTCGAGTTCATGATGCACCACTATCACTCCTTAAGTTTAAATACAACCCTACGCAGATGATTTTCAACCCATTTTTCAGTCAAGCAAATTCCTCTATTTTTATCTAAGTACTGCACCAGACTACCCCGATTATTAGCTTTTAGACCTCTTGTTTTTCATCATCAAAATGCTTTGCTAATCTTATCTCGTTTAACAGGTAGTTCAATGATAATCCCCAAGTAAAAATAAGCAAAGCAATATATCAATTCCTTAAGAAAAGGACACCAAAATACTCGAAGTCTTCTTTGACACATACCTTAATTTCGCTGAGCACTATGGGCAAAGTTCAACAAATACGTCGCGCAGACTAGCTATTCTGAAGGCCTTAGCTGGACCAAACTGGAGTCATTAAAACACACGTTACTGGTAGCCTAAAACGCTTTGGCCACACCATTTTTAGATTACGCATGCCCAGCATGTTCCCATGCCGCCAGTTTTGTGTCTTTCAGAACAGACAAGAATCACAACTACCGGCAATAAAAAATCTTAAGATGTAATTTACTAAGCAAGCACTAAGTTGTCAATACGTACCATTTCATAGCAAGAAACTATTTGATAGCAAAAAAATTGAATTTAAAAAACACCACTTCCGAAAAGCCAAATGGGTTAATAGCAAAATGACAGAACGACTATGAATAATTATCAAAAATGTTACAAAAATTCCATTCTTCACAAATCAAGCCGACAAATGAGCAGACAAACGAAAACCCAATCTATCAATTTTTCCCGGACAACCTTCAGTTTTATACACAACAAAAAACAAGGACCAAACAGGACTCGAACTCCAGACCTTGAGAAGCAACGGCAACAACGCTACCGCTAGACCAAGTAAAAGAAGTCTTCAAGTGTTAAGATGCAACACCAGGCGAAGCAGCCCATCGCAATTAATAGCGAGCAGCGACAAAAAAAGCAGCTCTATAAAATGAAGTAAGAAAAAATTCCAATCAGCTTTGAAAAAGTAAAAATTTTCGGTGTCGCAATTGAACCAGCGAAGTCGAGATTTTTAATCTCACGCCCCTCTCAGTCAGGGACGCTTAACGATTGGCAAAAATTTGCCACAAAAATGCAAAAAAAAAACAGATGCTATGAAACTTTCAATGCTCTAGATCAAGGGTATAATAAAAGAGCCACTAAATGAGCACTTTATTTGCGAGTTAGGCAGGAAAAACTCACACTATTACACTACGCTCGCGGGTGCTTACATACAATTTCGTTTTGTTTCACATTTGATTTCGTTATGTTTTATTTCATTACAGAACCGAAATCAATTTATCAGATGATTTTTTTTCGTCACCAATACTCTGCTAGCCCTGAAATTATCGGAGGCATCTACATGGATCCACACAAAATATAGGCACAGAGGCAAAGCTGCACTTCGCAAACACTAGCGAGAACACGAAAAAAAGCAGCTTTATCAAGTGAAATAACAAAGATAGAAATGAGCCTCGAATTAGTAAAAATTTGCTACATATGAGCTTCCAACCTGGGACCTCGAGAATTGGAGAATAACAATTCTCGGCCACAAACGCTTAACTACGGGCAAACACTAGTCACAAATAATACAGGTACATATGCTTACAAATTGCCAAGGCCATGCAGCAAAAGTAGCACTAAATACATATACACTATTTTGTAAAAGTTTGGAATATAAACTGAAAGCATCCTCACTAACTATTAATGTACTAAATTGGAAATCATAAAACCATATTATGTATAAATTATGCATTCAAAAACTTGGAAGATATACTGATTAAAAAATGTTCTGTGATTGAGTTTTTTTATTGTTATGTTGTCTAAAACAAATAGCTTTTTTCGGTTCATTTGATGAATTTTAAAAAAAAGAAAGTCGTATAAAACTAACGCTCAGTTAAGTTCGCTAGTGTGAAAAAACATTAAGGAAAACCTTAGGAAATAAAAAATATATATATATATTTTCTTTTTCCTTCAAATTAGTGTCGTTCCTTGGGCGTGGTGTGATAAAAAGAACTATACAAACGGTTCTGAAGAAGAATGCAAATAAATTATCGTTTTTAAAAAATCAAAAAACTTGGATTTTTCCAAAAAAAATTAAATTGTGCACAAATTTTTTTCTGTTAAAAACTTGCTAAGGAAGCGTTGCCTGAAGCTTTCAAAACTAGTTTTCGTTTAGTAAAATTTTATAATCCTAAACGACCAATTCTTGACTTGCTAAAATAACTTTGCTTACTCGATGGCTTTACTAGCTCGAAATTAGATTAAAACCGGTTTTTCGCGACAAAGGAGAAATTTTTGAAAACTTTTTTATGTCATTCGAATCAAGATTAGAAAATCTTATATACAATCTATCACTCGACCCATTCTGATGATTTTTTGTGGTACCTGATATTGCGTGGAAAACAAAAAAATGTAGAAAAAAACTAAAACACCCGAATATAAAGTTCCTCCGATTTTCAATGGTCGGAATAATAACTAAGGAACACAGAAATCAGCCAATCAAATTGCGTACCCACAGAAAACATTGAGGCTTTGATCACACAGAAACGAAGGGATCTTTGCATCACTTAAATATATTTCTAACTGTAAATTTAGGATGAAATATCAACTGAAATTACAATAACTCAAAATTATCAGAAAATAAGGAGCCTATTGCAAATCAAGACGCGATAACGGTTATCGCTGAAAGCAACTGAGCTATGATCAAAGAACAGGAATAAACAGTTGCTGTGCAAAGAGCACAGAATAATTCGACCACAGTCATAGTGCTAATTTTTTTAATCAAATTTTTATTCAGGAGGTTGTGGGACAAATTAAGTTATACAACTCACGATATTAATAGCTTAATTTTTGTAACCCTGCAGTCTCTCGACACCCCGAACTTACATAGTATAAATTCATGAAATTGCCTCTAAATCTTAAATTTACGAATACAGATTCAGCGAAGACTCGAAACAAAAATAACTCATTTTTGCCATATTTCTTGATTATTTAACTTCCCGGAAGTATTCCCGGAATTAAAATGAACTAATTAAGCCAAAAAATGCTAAGCTAAATAAGCCATAAAAAAATCAAAAGCCATCTGAGAATTTGTCCACAACCTTAGTTGTCTTACGAATAGAAGCTACCTCAGCATCAGGTGCTCAACATTTTTGAATTAATCCTGATTGAATTTGATCGATTAAAGTAATCAATACAGAGGCGAACTGGAACAAAAAATTGACCAAGTCATTGAAATGAAAAGTATGAAAATGATCAAAAATTAGATCTCTCAAAAAGTTAGCGTAAAAGTTGAATGGAAAAAATTACTAAGCGGAAACCATACCGACAATATTAGGGTGAGAGCTTGTAGCGGAAAAAAAGCATGGCAATCTTTTTCAAAATGAAAATATATTATCATGAAGTTAGATTTCTGCCCTGCAAACGACGCAATATGAGGCAACTAAGCCGATTTAACATAAACCGAACCTTTTTAGCCACATGAAACAATAACATGAAACTGCGAAAATACACATAAAATAAGTAAGTATATGCCTAGAACCAAAAAAAAATCGAGGAGGGTCAAATTTTGAATACAGCTCAAATCAGTTAGTGCAAGTGTAATGATTCTGCGATGCAGAAAATTGAGTCAACTTTTTTTCTCAATCGCCAAAAACATTGAAAAAAATTATGCCAGCAACAACGAAAAAAAAAATGAAACTTAAAAAGAAAATAGACTTAAGAACTGATAAAAACTTGTTAAAATCCGATCCTATTTATTAAACAAACACACATACACAATTTTGTTTGATTATTAAAGGACGCAATATGAAGCCGAAATAGTACATGCCGAGTTTTATTTAACCGAAAAAAAAGAAAAGGAAAAAGTTCATGAAAAATGAGTAAGTTGGTAAAATTACAAACAACATAAAAAGCACATTTCGAACGGGACGGATATTCAAAACTCTAACATGCTCAAAATATGTCTGTCGCAGCTTCTATCAAAGAGACAACTGCTGCAGTTCAGAGTACAACGAGATGAAAATGGAGATCTAAAAACTGGAGATCATCCTGTGGACAAAGTTGTTTACAGGAAAAAAGTATAGTAGCAGATTGCAAGACCCTTGCTTATCGCAAGAGTAATGAACAGCATGAAAAAAATAAAAACAAAACAAAACTTCTTGCACCAAAGATAAGAGTATTTAAGTGAGTCGGTTTATATAGTTATTAACCCGAAAAAAGTCCATATTCCTTTTTGATAACTCTTGATAATCGCAAGAGTCAGAAGACAAACTCGAGCAAAGCAGATAGTCGAAATACAGCATGGTTAGTCAAAAACAAACTATAAAACGGTCAAAACCCAGAAACCAAAAACAAATTTCCAAATATATATATCATATAAATTTTCGCTTGATGAAACTACTGTTGAGCCGGGAATGACCATAAAAAACTGTTGAAAATCTGATTTTTGAAATTCTAAGCACACTTCCACTTTTCAAACGACGTTACCTGAGGCAATTAAACCAAAAAAAAACAGCTGAATCCAAACAAACCTTTATAACTAAAATATATACAAAGGCTTTATATTAAATTCTCACACCAAAATAAATATAACCTAAGGGAAAAATGTGTACCGAAGAAACTAGCCGACTAAACTAAGCAGAAACTTGAAAGTCCAAAAATCGAACTTTTTATGACAGAAAAAATCCTGTGCTCTAGCATAGAGGCTTCACCTGGACTCGATTGACAATCATTGGTCTTCCAAATCATGGTCGTTGCCTCTTGGATGAATTTTAATTAAATATCAAACATGGTACCAACTGATTCAGCCATTTCAAGCCGCGCCTAAAAAAGAGTATCTAGAACACATCCGAACTAAAATGCTATTTTGCTAGAAGCTATATCTGAAAACTATGACGACCAAGAGAAAGCCAAAAAAAAAAGACGAACCGGAAACATTGCAGTTAAAAAAAACTGACACATTTTTTAAATTTTTCTTCACTAGCTCAATTTTTTGTGCATCTTAAACTTAATCTGCTCAAAAATGAATTTAAAAGTACAAAAACAGTCCCAAACCAAAAGAACAAGTAAATCTAAAAATGCAAAAACTATTTAGTCAATTTAAAAATTTTAAAATAATTATCAGATTTTGTATCACTTTTATTTTTTGAACCTGTCTTCGGCTTGAAAGGTCTATCGTCTCAAAAAAATCACTAAAAAAGTGCTAGATATCATATCACAACTCATAACTGATTGCAAAATCTTCCCAAGAAAATTGCTGATAAGCTCACGAATCCAATTATTTTCACCAACAATGCTATGATATAAACAGCATTAAGACATAATTTACAGGGTCAAAACTACGCCGACTATACGTTAAAGACCGCGTTGATTCTGAGCCACAAAAAATTAAGAATACTTTTCAAACATTACCTGTGCAATTAACCGAAGAAACAGGCAAAACAGTGAAATCGAAAAAATTAATTAAAGCACTAGAAGCTAGCAGACAGGTCGTTTAAAACCGAAAATAAACAACAATTAAAAAACTTCAAAACGATGGCTGGAATCATGTTCTTTTTGAGGAATACACGTCAAGGTACACAATTGACGACGTTTAATTAAAATTCAAAAAGAATTATCGAGCGGCAACTGAGCCGACAAAATTTGTTGACTGGAAAAACTTAGATCTATAACTGGTTGAAAGTTTAAGCATTTTGTGCGATCCGGAGCGGACCATAAAAGTTCCCTTGAAATTATCCAAAATTAGGTCACTAATCCAATAAATTACGAAACCACTGGGGCCGAAGAAAAATTTTTAAGCAGAAGAAAAACAAAACTTTACGAAGTCAAGGCTAGCACAAATTTTCTCAAGGCTAGTGCTAAATTACAAATGGCAGGAAGAAATCAGAACACCAAAAATTTCAAGTACCCTTCCCGTCAAATCACACATGCACAAAAAAAACGAAACGACAAAATAAGAGGCCTTAAAGTCGATATGAAAAATCCGTAACTTATTAAAAAGAGACAAAAGACATAAAAAGTTAAAATAAAATTTTAAACACAGAGGCGAAGCGGAATTGCACCACTTGGGATACAACACAAGCAAAAAACATAAAAAGCCAAAAAAAATCGAAAAAAAACTTGATCATATAAACTATCAAATGTCTCGATAGAAGTTCATTCAGGCAAACATGCCAGACACTTGAACTTTAAAACAGCAACAACGGAATGAAAGTTACGAAAAGAAACAAAGCCGACAATCTTTGACCAGACACGTTGAGCCGAAAAAACATATGATTTATAAAAAAAAGTTTCAAGTCTTACCTTACACAACAATGGACAACACTTGCACTTGCAACTACAATGAAAATTGCTTACAGCAAAAAAATCAGTGATGTAGCAACTAAGCCGACAATCTTTGAGCAGACAACAACTGAAACGAAAAACAGAAGATTTTATGAAAAAATATATTTTTTTAATCTTTCAAGTCCCCCCTGAAATTAGAATAAACAGTACTCGCACTTCCAACTACAATGAAAATTGTCTACAGCAAAAGGAAAATCCTTTGTGGCAATTTAGCCGACGAAAAAACTGAGCCAACAAACGAAAAACCAACAATTCATTTTTCTCGGAACTTTCGTTCAATTTCCTTGATGCTGAAAAAAACAGGTCCGACCACGACTCGAACTTCAGACCTTAGTAGGCTACAAAGGTAACTGATTTACCTCCAGGCTAAGGAGGAAGCAACTTGAAAGTGAAAATAAATTAGCTGTATAGTCAGCAAGTGATTCAACTGAGTTTCTTAAACTAGTTAACTAGAAAAACTCTATATTCGAGTTTGATAACGCTTGCTGATCGCAAGCGTAAAAATCAAGTTGGTAAAAATACAACCAATATAAAAGGCAAATTTCGATTAGGCCGGCAAGGCATTTCCCAAAAAGTACAACCCCTCAAACTTAAAAAAAAAACATATTTCACCTGAAATATTTTTTGGAACGTTCTTCTAATCGTTTGAATATAGCTGATTTTAGTCAAGTTATTTGAAACTATTAACGCGTTCCTAGACGATAATTGCATCACTCTGTACTTAATATAGCGTGCGCGGGGGGGGGGGAGATTTAAGAGAAGATTAAATTTCATCAGAATTCTTCAAAAACATGACTCGTTCCTTCAAATGGCGATCGGAACATTCAGGAATTTGCCCTGATACGCGCACTCTTGTTGTTTCTTTATTCTTCGTTCATTACAAGACTCATACCTCCAAAAAAAATCCAGCAAAAAAACTGAAATAATTATAGTTGTTGTTGCACTTGATGCACTATAGCTATGCATGTGAAATCTTTCTAAAACTATGCTGGAAATTTTTCAGAAAGTTAGTAAACTACAAATCTGCATTGCTCACCACTCAAATATTGTGATCTGTCAACGAAAATCAAACAGTTGCACTTGAAGCTATAGATAAGAAATAGAGAGAAAAGTTGAATTTATCACTCAATGTTGTTTTAACAGAAAACACATCGATCAGCTTGAAAAACTGATCAGCATTCATTTCGAAAAATAATGTTCGAGTGATTGAGAAAGGATTTCACGATTAGAGCGTCTTCAGAGTTTGTGAAACCATCATTATAAGCTATATATCATTCACATAGCTAGCAGATTACAGCTGTCCGCAATCGGCGATCACAACTTTCTTGGAGGTCTTTCCCTGTTGAGACCCGACAGCTTCGATAGCCTTGACAACATTCATGCCGTCAGATACTTTTCCGAACACGACGTGGGCACCGTCCAACCACTCTGTTTTAGCAGTGCAGAGGAAGAACTGAGATCCGTTTGTATTTTTCCCTGCATTTGCCATTGACAGAATTCCAGGCCCGGTGTGCTTCAGTTGGAAGTTCTCGTCAGCAAACTTCTCGCCATAGATGCTTTTACCACCAGTTCCGTTTCCTTTGGTGAAATCACCTCCTTGGCACATGAAACCCGGAATGACACGATGGAAACTTGAACCTTTGAAGCCGAATCCTTTCTCGCCGGTACAAAGAGCTCGGAAATTCTCTACTGTTTTAGGAACCACATCGTCTCTCAATTCAATCTCTATTCTTCCAGCAGCGCTGCCACCAATAGTCATATCAAAGAACACTTTAACTACCATTTTGATCGGTTAGTAAATGGAATGAAAGTAAGATCAGAAAGCAAACAAACTGAAATAAAAACAGATATGTTGTACAGATTTAGTTGAAAGATTGTAAGGCTACCAAAACTCTGAGCAACGCTTTTCTGTACTCTATTGTACCAAATTAAACGCAAAAACAGGTTTTACTCTTAAGAATCCAGTTTTCCAGGATGATTTTGAACGGTTAATTTGAGCTTTGAATTTTATTACGTTGGAAACCGAAGAGCTCAAATGACACGAAATTTCGTCTGCAAACAAATGCGTCTGAAGAAGTGCGAGTCGGATTTCTCGTTTCGGGCATGTCGTCTTGCTAATCTGTACAACGAATACTTCAAATGTGACATATTGTTTGACCCAGAATGCAAAAACAGACTTCTAGGAATGTACACAAAGTTTTTCAAAACTCGCTACAACGAATCAGACACATGCACTTGGCGCATTTTATGCGAATGCAACAACTGTCGAGACCTGAAGAAAATTACACTTATAACTGAAAACTAAACTTTGAACAATGCAATGACTGGGTTTTATGCGAACCCTTGGATTATATTCCTAAATCCTTTGTTATTATTATTATTAACTTGACGAGGGACATAGCTCCGAAAACGTTCGAATTCACATTTTAATAAATGTAAGTCGCCTACTTAAGTCACATATGAGGATAAAAATAGGCCCTATAACCATTGGCTGAAGAGACAGGGACACTATCTCTTGTGTTTTTCTACCTCAAGCAGTCGGAGCCAATTCGTTCACTTGCGACATGAGACTACAAACCGTGTTACAGCTTAAGGCTACTACCAAAATACCCCCCCCCCCCACACTCTAGAAATAAGAACGCCCCCATGCTCAGGTCTCAAATACCCAAAACACACGAACGCCGTTCAAAACAGGGTCGGAACCTTACGTATACCGTTAGTTTTTAATGGACGGTGGACCTTTGATCCATTGCAGATGTATCAACTTAAAAACTCCCCCTAACTCAACATAACAATATAAAACACTCAAGAAATTTGAATTGGCTAGTTACATACCGACACAACCTATAGAATTCAGTAAATGAACTGTAAAGCAACTCTGAAACTGATTTGGTACTTAAGTTTGACTCAGAAAGTTTTTAGTAAGTGTAACATTCATCTACTGTAGTCACACATGAGGCTTAAGAAAAATAGGCCCTATAACCATTGGCTCAAGAGTCAGGGACCCTATCTCTTGTGTTTTTTTACCTCAATCAGTCGGAGCCATTTCAGTTCGCTTGTGACATGAGACTACGACCCGTTACAGCTTAAAGGCTACTACCAAAATATCTCCCCCACTCTAGAAATAAGAACGTCCCCATACTTAGGTCTCTAGATACCCAAAATACATGAACGCCGTTAAAAACCGGGTCGGAACAATCCGTTAAGTTACTTTTTATTAGACAGTGGAACTTTGATCCATTTCAGATGGATCAACCTAAAACTCGCCTTACCTCAACATAAAAATCATAAAACACACTCTAGAAATTTAAATTGGGTACTCACATCGTAGCACGCTCAAGAACTGGGAGTAATTAAGTTAGTAAACAACTCGAGAACTAAATAATGTAAGTAAATGAGTTTAATGTTTGTTAGTTTCAATAAAAGGAACAAGTTTGAACTCTAGAGTATGGTTTCTCGTGAACCATTGGGACACTCAAGCTGTCCACCTTTCCATCGAAAGTTCACTCTAGTCCAGTTTGAATGATAATCCAGTCGAGCAATAATAGTCCAATTCTCGGGAATACGCTTCCTTCTGTTTCAGATAGGACAGCTCTACTCTAGTTTTATTGTGACGGAAATTGCGAATGGCAATTTCCTACTGCTTTATCTGGCAACTTTCCCGCGATTGTTACTCGATCGTTCTGATTTCTCTTTTTCGGTTTTCAGTTATCGCGAGAGAATCGTGCATGACAGGCTCCATTCTAATTTTTGAAAAATCAAATTTCACTCCAAAATTAAGCGTTCTTGTTTTTCTCAAGGTCAAACTTCCAAATATGACCGACTGGCACATACTCCCCGGACTCAAGATCGATGTCTTCATCGCGTGCTGTCGTCTGCCAGTGAGTACCAGAAAACTGAGTGTTGCTCAAGGTACAATTTGTCTATTGAATGCACGGTATCAGAGCCGAAACCATACTTGGAAAATTTTAGAAGTTTTGGAAATGCCGATTTTGAAGGAATAAACAATTTTATAAACGAGAACCCATTTGAACCAGTATGCCACACAAACATTAACAAAATGCATGAGGAGTACACCCAATATTTGGATGAAATCATTAAGAGTTTTGTGCCTCTCAGAACAAGACATAGGAAATCACTTCCACCTTGGATAACAAGTAGCACTTCAAATTTGATCAAAAAGTTACAAACAAAACGGCAATCATGTATACTCGAACCGACCAACTACAGAAGACAACAAGTTAAACTGTTTGAAAATTTAGTAACTGAATCATCGGAATCGGACAGGAAAAACTACCAAGAGGAATTGTTTAGAACACGGAACACTAATGTAATTTTTAAACACCTCAAGAACTTAAATAAACATACAAGCCTTCCTAAGTTACTCATAAAAGATGAAGTTGAAAGCACAAATCCAAACGAACAAGTCAACATGCTAAACGACTTCTTTCATTCAGTTTTTAATCCTAAAGAAAGTTTTAGTATTAGAGATATTCAATTTGAAAATCCCTTGTTAACGAATTTTGATATATCGAAAAAGACAGTAAGTGAGATTTTATCAACTCTGGACGTAACAAAGTCACGCGGCCCAAATGGGTTGCCACCTAGCTTTTTTCAGAAAACGAACCGCAATATATGCAAACCGATGAACAAACTTTTGAGAAACGTAAAACGCCTACGAAAAATACCTGATTCATGGAAAACAGCTGCAGTTACTCCTGTTCACAAAAAAGGTGACCGAAAATGGTGAACAACTATCGACCAGTATCGCTATTAAATATTGACAGCAAAGTCCTTGAAAAATGTATATACAAAGACCTGTACCCTTACTTTGCCTGGTATTTGACGAAACATCAACACGGTTTTACTAAAGGTAGATCAGTTTTGACAAACATGCTCTCTTTCCTGAAAGAAATATATGAAGCGCTTGACAATGACTCAAACGCAGAAATTGTAGCATTCTACACTGACTTTGCAAAAGCCTTTGATAAAGTTCCGCATTTTGATCTACTTAAGAAAGTTGCACTTATAGGAATAGGAGGCTGCATGTTAGAGGTACTCTATGACTATTTGAAAAACAGGAAACAGTTTGTACGAGTAGACAATATCAGCTCAAACGTTTTAGAAGTCACTAGTGGTGTTCCCCAAGGATCACTTTTAGGACCACTGCTCTTTTGCATTTTTATTAACGACCTACCTGAAGTACTCAAATTCTCTGAACCATATATTTTTGCGGATGATCTTAAACTACTTTCCATCAAAAAAACATCAATTGAAATTCAAGAAGATCTGGACAAAATTCAGCAGTGGGTAACTGAAAACAAAATGGAATTAGCACTAGATAAATGTGCAAAAGTAAGTTTTAGGGGCGGAGACGCTAACTCTATGCTTTTTGGTGTAGTGCTTGGAACATCGATGGTTGTGAAAGATCTGGGAATTTTTGTGTCGGGCGATTTAAGTTGGAAGGTACACATTGAAACAAGATTAAAGAAGGCAAACCAAGTACTGTACCTCCTGAGAAGAAACCTATCAGCAAAGATAAATACGTTTGTAAAGTTAGGCCTGTATAAGTCACTAATACTCCCAGTGTTATTATACGGACTCTCATGTACACATATATCGAGGGGGGATCAATTGCAGTTGGAGCGATTTCAAAAGAAAGTAATCCGTTGGATCACTGGAAATAAAACGGGAGTGTACATCAACGAACTACGCTTGTTAAACATTTTACCCCTGCCCATGTTCATCCAGCTAAATAACATCATACTTCTTGCCAGTATTGATTCTAATGAACGAAATGAAATAGTGTTAAACAGGCGAACCACACGGGCTAGAAATACAGAAATTTTTGAGATGCGAAAAGTGAGAACGGAAAAAGCGAGAAACGAATTTGTTTTCAGAACCAGTAGGATTGTAAATCGATTAGAACCATATATTCATTTTGATAAACGAATCGGCCTCAAGACGAGAATTTTAAACACGATGTGGAAATTTGTAAACGAGAGATTTTTAGAAATGACAACGTGCACGTGGCAATTATTCTGTGATTGTATCACGTGCAGAAACAAGTGGACATTGTTTTAGAGAAGACGCCGGGACCAAGAATCCCAACAGCAGTGCTGTGAATCCCCAACAACAACAACAACAACAACAACAACAGTGTCAGTGGTCATTTACAGAAGTTTGCAGCAGACTTAAGCTTATCTACACCCCAAAATTCACGGCTATGTAAAATTTTCACACTATCGCTAAACAGCAATCAAAATCTGCACACACCTGCACCCTTGAATTCTCGATTTTCAAGCCAATTATTTAAAATTTCTTTTGTCCCATTCAATCAGGAAATTGTCATGCAGCATTTTGATTTATTTAGTAAATATAGCATATTAATAACAATATCTGATTCGTTAAAATTTCTTTTTCGTGAACCCAGGTTTCATCCGGATTCACACTCAAGCCCCCTTTCCCTCTCAAGACTCAAGATCTCTTCGAACCATCCGCTCATTTCGCACTCTTCGCCTTGGAGGTGCCGTCCCCTGAAGTACTGGATACGGCAAACTGTCTCAACAGTTCTTCTTCATCATCGGAGCTAATCACGATCTCCTCCCAAGCCTTCAGCTGTTCATAGGATCGCATCCATTCCCTTTGCTCCTGCAACCTCTTTGCCTGGTTGGGTAGTGCCTTCACCCTAGATTCCCGGTTCAAACAAAAGGAGTTGTGCAGGCTCAGGCTCACGTTCTTCGCCAAGTCCTCCTCTAGTATCGATTCCCTCGCTTTGGTATTGTCTCTAGACATTTTACCCACTCTTTTCCATCCTGTCGTGATCACATTTCGATGGGTCAACAGGGGTCTCTTGAAAACTTCCGGC